ACACCTTTTATAACACTTTTATTCACCAAGTATAAAAGCATTTACTACGTGTAAATACAAACGCAAATAAACCGGACACCAACACTATATTATTTAACACTGAAAATAACTATATTATTAATTATTTTGTTATTAATTTGCCAAAAAACACAACTGAACAGCGCGATTCGTAATTTTAGTAGAACACGTTCAAAATAAACTTTCTGTCAAAAGTACCACAGTCCTATTAGAATAGTGTGACTGTAGATAATTCAATTCAATTACGAGTATAATCGATATGATATGATATAATTCAATTATATTCGACTTGTACGGGGTCCAGACTTCAAAATGCACTCTCGCGCATTGAACACTGCATGCTAACATCCGTGAAATATATCGTTCCATTAATGCTCGACATTACCTCGGCACACTTGTTTTTGATCGATGTTTTGAAACCATCACCTTCTACACTAATGAAATCACTTAACAATTGTTGGTTTTCAAAACATATATACGCAATGGCTGAACCTTCTTTACCTAATTCATTTACAGTGCTAATATGGGAAACCCAACGTCATTCTGTAATGAAAGTAAACGGTCTCAGAAAGTATTGAAAATACTGTTACAGGATTACACTTGTACATCGAATTTCCTTGCATTGATTCAGAGTGACGTATCATAAACAATATTCTTTGTTTTACCTAATGTAGAGACTTCCTTTGAAGTACACCTCCTTGAACATACTGTATTACGATTAAATAAAGAGTAAACAATATCATTTATTTATTCTTAATCACAGAGTAGGCGCGTCTATATCCCTTACGTTGCTGGGATCGAAGCAAATTTTGTTTATCAACATGCTATTTCAATTTAAGATTCTTAAATAGAACATGTTTTAAAACTTTTGGCTTATCTTTTGCTAAGATCATAGCGTCTAATAAAGAAATAATATTGCTGTAAAAAGCACATTAAAATTATGCTTGACAACAGGATATAAGAAATATACATCATTTATATCACTCTGTTCTCGCCAATAAAAACCAAAATGTTAATGTTTTAGAATCATTTTCTTTATGACATTTACCACCGAGAAACCGGCTTAGGTGGCTCAGGGCATCAACTGATGTCACTGCAGTGTTACTGACTGAGAGGTCATATGGTTCTTGTCCTGATGTTAGCTGGATTTTCGACACTGGCCAAATAACCAGGCCGAATTCAGCTGCAGTCTGCAGAAGAATTGTAGCGGCCGACTGTTCTGATGGGTAGTTTTCCGTGGTTTCTTCAATCAACGGCGAATGACGGAACAGTACCCTAACAAACGGGTCACGGACCGCGCGCGGTCTTTACTTCCCCTTCCTTGTCCTATTCTTTCCCCTTACAACGCAGAACGCTACCATCACACTATGTCGGGATACCCGTAGGGAGCTTACAGCTTGTCCTGGCTGGTGCCCCACTGGTGGGAGGTTTTTGGTTGGAGCTAGACAGGTTGTCGCCGGATCACACCATCATCACCATGTGGCGGGAAAGGTCACCGCCACATCCCGAAGAAAACACGTGCACTATTGTCGCAGTGTAAACGCGACTATTGACCTTGGCAGTTGACACGCCCGCAATCACAAGCTAACCAATCAATCAATCAATGAAAAAATGCCATTAAAAAGAGCCCACCTCGGCTACGAGCGCCTCGCACTCCCTGAGGACGAGTATGAGGACGAGCGGGTAGGACAGCAGCCACACGACGGAGACGAACTCCCACGCCGCCGAGGTGACAATCTCGTGGTACTCGATAACGAAGTTGAGTGCGCTGTAGTAGAGGATGCACGCCACGTTGAGGTAGACGGTAGCCACCAGCAGCAGCAAGCCCGGCCCGCTGACGGCGCCCAGCGCGCGCGCGGCGTCGCACGCGTCGCCCAGCAGCCGCGCCGCCGCGCGCACGCCCTCGGCGCTCGCCCACGCGCTCCCGCACTCCTCCCGCCCCTGCAACGCGAGGCCGCTCACTGACACACCTCGCTAATACGGATCCCGCAAATCCCAAATTTCCATATTCCGAATCAAATTTGGGATGGAGGAAAAATAAAATACTTATTTGTAGTGTAGAGAAAGCATTTTATAATTACTGTAGAACCAGACAATTAATTATTGAAACACAAGTTATCGAAATGAATCTTGTATTGCACTGATAACTACGGTGTATATCACAAGCTTATGTAGAAGTAATTTTCACTTAGAGCAACTTGCAAAATTGGTCATCTTTTGCCGTAAGGAACTGAATCTGCTTCATCAGTATGCTACGTTGCCGTTTTCTCACATCGCATCGCTACGTTGCATTGTCCGATAATTCTATAAATGTATTAGTATATGCACGAAGTATTTGTTCGGATAATCCGAAAATTTCCGATTACGAACACACCACACCTCCAATTAGTTCGGATTACCGGGTTTCTACGGTTTATAACTCAAAGCTGCAAAATATCGTAAACAACATGAAGTAAATTTTACATCAAAGAATAAGTCGCAACTTTATTAAAGACAGTTTGTTAAATTAGTTTATTTACATAAATCACATAACAGTTTCATTTGTTTAAGCACATTTTCAAACCCGACGTTACATCGTAAAAATAACATTCATAAAACGAATGTGCTTTAAAAAGTGAAACTGTTTTTCTGTAATTTAGGTAAATAAACTGTGATAAAAAACTATCTTTAAGCAATTTGAGACTTGTTCTTTAATGTGAATAAAAAACAGTTTATACAAATATAGTCAAGATCTAAATTTTCCAGGAGAGACTTTGGTTTTAAAATAGTTTATGTCCTTACTTTCAGAAACTACATATTTATTACTACTGTAAATTGAATTTGATATTTTAAATTATTTTTAAATTATGTGGCGTACATTTTGCCTGAATGTTCATAAACTAGTAGTCCTGTCAATGCTTTGCTATTGAATTGTATTACACATCACACACTACAGATCACGTAATAGTTTTCCGCTACGCTATGCAAAATTTGTAACAGATGGAATACTTTCTTGCGTGTATGTTCGATTTTGTGATTCGGACATGGTTGTCAAGTATCCTATTGTTGAAACGGTCTTTCTCAAGTTTGCGCATGTATTCGCTATCATACTGTCTTGGAAAAATATGATTTACACATCCGTGAAAACGTTCAAGTAATAATTCCGGTCGATATTTCACTATTGCAGGGTCAGAGTATGCAGGGAAGATGCGCTTAAAACTTGAGTATACGGCGAGTTGCGTAGAGCTTGTGTTTAGAGGCGCTTGAGTCAGCATAAACGCATAGAAACATCATCAACAACCCCCACATTTTGCGTCTATACGCGTTTCCCATTGTACTTTGCCTATGTAATTTCTCATTATACTCTGCCCATATTTTTTGCGCAAGTGCAAGCAATAAGTTGACAAAGTTTTATTGCAATCGGATGATATTGCAGGGCATAAAGTAAGAACAAGTAAACAAACCACAAAACATGATTTTTTACACATGAGATATCGATCATGAATCTGCAAAATGTCGTAACCAAAGAGAATTAAAAATTACAACTGAGGAAAAAACTGAATAAGTTTTTAAGACTTTCAAGTTGGACTTTTTTTTGTCGTTTTTTCACACATTACATTTTTACCATTACAGTGATTTAAATTGGATATTTTAAAATTGTTTTTAATGCATGTGGCATGCAATATTTTGTCTGAATATTATAAATTATTGGTATACAACTTTTTTTTTACAAAATTAATTTTTGGATTCTGACATTTCGTAAAAAGGTGTATTCTTAGACAATGATTCTGTTGATGTCAAAATATCAATTTCATAAATAAAGCGAGTTATGACAAAGTGCAGTTTCATGGATGATAACCGATAACGTAAGTTTAATACTTTTCAGGATTGGTTTCTTTCTGCGCAATTGATCCTAATTGCAGCACGTGCGCCTCCCCAGCTTTTACGTACGTTGAGCAAGAGCGCTTTCTCGCCGCCAGCCGGCGTCGCGTTCGCTTCGGCCCACTGCGCGAAGCGTCGGTTGGTGAATCTGTACACGCTCCGGATGACGTAGGCGAAGTTGTTGAACTGCACGTACATGAAGCCGGTGACGAGCGACACGACGATGCCGGAGACGATGCTGGCGAGGGAGAAGAGCGGCATGTAGGGGAAGGTGATGGCGACGGGCACGCATCGGACGAAGAGCGTGAGCGCCAGCACGGCGGCCAGCTGCGCGCGCAGTCGCCAGCGCAGCCGAGCGCACAGGCGCCGCGCCACCGCCGCGTCCATGCGCAGCGCCAGCGCCTGCGCGCGCCGCAGCAGCCCGCCCACGCGCCGCTGCGCGCGCAGCGCCTGCCCCTGCGCCACCGGCACCACCAGCAGGTACGCCACCATGTGCAGGTTCACCTTGAAGCGCACCACCGCCACCCACGCCGGCGCAGGGCTCTTGAAGATCCACATGTCCTGAGGGCGATTGATTGATCGTTAGTGATTCCGGGCGCGCCGACTGCTAAAGACATTACTCCCGTAATTGTAGCGCATGTTTATTTCCCTCGGGAAGTGCCCGTTGAATGACGGGATCTAGCGCCAACCTACCGTCAGCTAGCAGTGTGTTCTCCAACTATGTATCATCAGTGAGGTCGGAACCACCCCAACCGGAACGAGCACTAAGCTCCCGACCGGACTCCCATCATGTAGTATAGTGCATGTAAGTGTACGTAAGGGGTGATGGTAGGAGAAGTAAGAGGAAGGGGAAGATCACAGGCGGTTCGAGACCCGTTTGTTACGATACATCTCCGGCATTTGTCTGGTGTTGATCGGAGAAAACTACCGATCTGAGCAGCCGGCCGCTAGAATTCTCCTGCAGACGGCGACTGAATTCAACCGAAGTCCAATCGAAACATACGTGTAAATGAATCTGGCGTTCAAATAAAGTGTTCTATTTATGTCAATGATTTTATCTTAAAGGAAAGTGGTATTACAGAAAATATTAAACGTCACTTCACGGATATGACGTACAACGGTCATAGTTGATTATTTACTCCATGCCACTTTAATGAGGTAAATTAAATTTCTTTAGACCTTTTATAAGAGACAGAAAGCTAGCAAGAACAGTGAAGAGTGATAAGCCCCAAGAAGCAGTTGAATGTGATGTTTCCGGGATTATAAGTTCCAAGAGGTGGTGGAAACCTGATTAAGACAGGAAACCTGTTACGTAGAGATATGCTAATGTCCCCTTTTCTACTTTTATAAAAATTAATTTGCATTTGTTTTGTGACAGATATCACATGACAAGGAGAAGCCTGTAGTGACAATACTATCTTGCTTCGTATTAAGACATTACTTTGAAGAGAAAAGGCCAAGACGAATTTAGCTGTGTTTCTAAGCGTCGAGGATATTTTCATGACCTAAATGTTTGACATAGGTTGGACTGATATATTTCGCTTCCTCTAGAAGACGTCTGAATTACGTATCTTCTGCCCTCAAAATCTTACAACCTCACGAAAAAAAAAAACAATTACAGTTTACGAGATCCATTATATTGTAACAAGGGAACAACTTGTCACAGTATCATGGATCTGGTATACTGCAACTGTTTTTGATTTTCGTGATACATCGGGCGTGAACCCGCGAACATCGGTGAAATTGTACATTGGCGGAAAGAAGTATTACAACACCACTATTGTACAATTTACTCCTCCGTAAATATACAGCAAATACAGCCGGAATACTACACATGATTACATGGGCAGAGCCAGGTAAGACTCACATGTCCAGCCAGGTGATAACCTGAAAAGGATTCGCTACATCAATACTGCGTATACCCGACCAATACTGCGTATTCTACGACAAGCTCTGACGCGGGCTGGCATCCAATTGTACAAGTGGCAAATAGTGTCCGGCGGAATACTGTTTCACGCTTCCTGCAGCACCTCACGTAGAGCAGACCGTTGGGGGAGTCGCAGCGAGGGTCAGGTGTTGGCCCATCATGTCCCACATATGCTCGATCAGGAACAAATCCGCCGAGCGTGCCAGCCCGGGCAGCTGACGAATATCGCGAAGAGCGCGTTGCGTAGCGCGGTCACTGTGAAGGTTGGCATTGTTCTGCTGGAACAGCGCACGCCTCTCCCGTTGCAAGTCACGAACCAGCACAGTCCGCGCAACAAGCTCGATGTATCCAGCGCTGGTCGATGATCTTTCCACGATAACCAAAGACGAACGCGCGTTGCATCTCCCCACCTGAAGTGGGTTCAACGTGACGTGAACAAACACACTCCGGACATACGTGCTGGCCTATGCGACGCCGTACACGCACACGAGTATCACTGGCGTGCAGGCAGAAGCGACTTTCATCACTCAACACCACTGCATGCCATTCCGTCTTCCAGTTGACCTGCCCATTGCACCACGCCAGACGTGCCCGACAATGGTTTAGAGTGAGTGGCAGTCGGGCTAGCGGTATGCGCGATTGCAATTCTGCAGCAAGCAACCGGTTCCCAACGATGCGTGGAGACACGTGGGGGCCACAGTGCCCTTAACTCTGCGCAAGTGGCCGTACAGTCTGGCAACGCCGCTCTCACGATGCGTTGATCTTGACGTTCCTCAGTGTTCCACTATCGCCCCGAAGTGGGTCGACGTCTATGAGAATGCTCGTCTAGCCATTGTCGCCAGCACAGCACCATCGACGTCCCATCACGGCCCTCGTGGTCAGCAGTAATCAGCAGCACCTAAAGAACCACCCGGCGTCGCGCAGGCCGACAATCCGACCCCGCTCAAACTGGTCCAATTGCTTAAGGACGAACGAGTGCGATGCCGTGGCATATCTAACTCCCGACTAGACCTTATATCAGAGGACAACGCCTTTTAAAGCCTCGGAGTAGATGGCGCGTCCGGGTCATTTCGTCACGCTGCCATTACGTCACCGGGCGTCAGTCATCCGTGAAATGTTAATCACGGCTTTTAAGACATTCTAGTTTTAATGTCCCTTATCTCCTACATGATTGCTCGTACCCTTCCCGGTGTTGCAATAATTTTTTCCGCCAGTGTAGTTTGCACTAGGTATTTGTGGGCTCGCCGATCATTAAAGCTCTAGCAAACGCTCACATTATTAGGGTAGTCTTGTGAACAGATAATTCATGCAAACTCTACTATCAATTCCGCTTGAATGAAAGAGGACATAAGATGAAAATAATGAGATGTCTGAGTAACTACTTGGCTGTCTGGGAGTCGCCACGTCCTAGGCATAGGTGCCAACATTTATGCCTCCATTCTGCCACCTTCCTACCTATTTAGACAGTCATCGAATTTTACTGTTTCGAAGCATGAAAGCATCAAAAGCATTACAAGCATGAAAGCATGAATGCATTTCACCTCGAGAAGGGTGGCAGAATTGCGTGCGAAACGTTGACTCCCATGCGTCTCCCAGACAACCAAGTAGTTACCGACTGCGTGCGCGGAAGCCTACGCTCTCCAATGAGACGAGTGGGTGACTGACCTCGCCGTTAATCCAGAAGGAAATCTGCTGGTTCTCGCAGAAGGTGATGTACGCGATGGCGGCGGTGGTGGCGAGGGCGAGGGCGGCGGCGTGCGCGGCGGAGGCGGCGCAGTACTGGAAGCGGCCGGCGCGCACGCGGACCGTGGCCAGGCCCAGCGCGCGCGCGGCCAACAGCCCCGGAGCCGCCGCCGCCAGCAGGTCGCTCGCGTCGCCCTCCACACCCGCCCGCCCGCAGGCATTCCTAGCAGTGATGCGACGTAGATAACAAAACGATAATTTCAATGCACACGAATTTAATGACAGAGGTTACTAATCCAATCTAAAAACATTGATGTTGAAATACATCGATGGTTTTAGTCGATGTATTTTTAACATATATGTTTTCTAACAGTGTATGCGAGTGATATAAGTGTAGTGCATGTTTTCTAACATAGATGTTCTAAATTAAAACATCGATGTTCAAAATACATCGACGGGAAACCACAGCTGTTTTTCAACATCGATGTTTTTAGACTGGACCTCTAACATTAAATTCGTGTGCATTAAAAATTAATTTGACAATGTTCGTGTTTATCAATTCGCCGAATAAGGGTAGGAGAAGAAGGTGCAGACCCTACTCCCACAGCGTATTTGTAGACCATATTTCAATGTGCGAAATGAATATGAAGGAATATGAAGAAAGAGGAAATGCAAGGTCATAGAGGTCATCAGCGTTCGTTTGGTTCGTACACATGAACAAAAGCCTTACTATCAGTTATTATTTCATATGTTAACATTTACATTTTTGTGATCATGGGAATTTTTCATAAAAGGCAAAACATCGGAAAAGAAAAAACACCGATCACAAATCTCGATGTAAAAAATCCTTGATGTTATACATCATCCTTAAAACATCGATGATTCTTCAAAAATATCGATGTTTTAAAAACATCGACATCGATATCGCATTCCTACCAACAACCCTTTGTGAGATAGTGGCCACGCTAAGACGTCAAACACTAGCCAACCTGTTTTACTCCTTGACGCACGTTGTAGCTTTAGTGGGGAATTTTTACTGTTGGCACATGGCGGGCATTAGCTAGATTGATTGATTGACTAGTGATTCCGGGCGCGTCAATGGCTAAGGTCATTATTCTCGTAAGCGTAATCCATGTTTTAATGTATGTTTTATGTGTAATGCAATAGTCTTGCCCTTCTGACTGGCGAGATAAGTGTACACGCTTAAATACTGTACGTTTTTTAGGCGATACTCACAGCAGAGAGTCTGGCCTTTTGAAGTTGTGATCCAGAGCGAAGTTATTTCCACTTTTAAAATAATAATTTACAGAGTGCAAATTGTTCGTACTGGTCTAAGTTGTTCCTAAATATTTACTCTAGTGTTATTCTATATCTGTCGATATATATGCAACGCTTATAAAATGACATAGATAAAATTTACTCTAAAACCTAAAACGATAAAAAATTGCTTAAGTTCAAAATATTTTGGATTCCTCCTATAACTAAAACATTGAAGATAAGAATTTTTTGAAATACAATATGTTCATTAAAATTAGATCTTTAACTCATGTTGTGTATGTATTTTTAAAATACAATGCTTTATTACGCAGTAAAGTGCCTGGGCGTTTGTAGTTGTGATCTTTTCAAGCTTTAAAGCATTTTTCACTATCAAAATATTTTTCGATGTGCAGAATGATTGTACTTGTTCAACTTGTACTTAAATATTGATTATATCGTCTTTCTTCCAAAATCCCAAAATTGCAATTTTACCTAGTTTTAATATTATATAATCAATTTTAGTACAAACATTCTGAGATACAATAATTTAAAGATCTCGAAAGTCTGCCAAAAACGTTTCCGCTCCTGCGAGGATATTTCAAAAACTGCTATGTTAGAAAGTCTCGTACAAGGATATGATGATAAAATAATAATTATAATAATGATAATTAATATATTAATTAGTATTCAGTTAATAATTAGAGCTGTAAAATAATTTATTTAAAAATTGTATCCCAATAACTGATGCTTTAATTCTATCATTCTGATAACAGTTTCAGTTATAATGAGCTTTTCTTCTTTTCTGTAAAATATGATTTTGGTACTTAATTGCATAGTCAAGAAAGGTGGTAATATGTGACTTGCGCATTTTAAGAAGAGTGTTCTTACATAGTTATTTTATATGTGAAATACCACATAAGGATTTGAGTGTTACTGTGAGAAAAACAAAAACATGAAGTATTTAATGATATATTATTTACCTTTCGACGAAAGAACTGCAGCACCTCATCTTCAGAATTACTGCACCACATAAAAATATCTACCCAGATGAAAAAATTAAAACAAGAGTTTCATATTCCCAACAAATATCTCATGTTTCTCTTCTCTTCCAGAAAAGCACTTCCACATATTGTAAGTTGTATTTCGCTAAATGCAAATATCTTGCACCTGATGGCTGGTACGTACTCCGGGGCAGCAGGTGCTGTGCGCAGGTCTACAGACGCGAACGCACGACCAAGTCGAAGCACTTAGGGAGAAACCAATATGGAGGGGCGAGGAGGAGGAGGAGAGGCTGCAACCTGGTTGATTGACGCTCCCCTCGGGCTTTCCCTTGTGAGGTGGGGGGAACGTTATCTTTCAGCTGCCAGAAAGAGTATAATCCTTTCAGTGAGTTCATTTGCGCAATTTCGTATGACACCTTTACTAAACTGACAAAGGAGATAATTTTTATTTGGGATTTAAAAAGAGTAAAAATGCGTAAAACATTTGAAAGGTAAACATAAGTAATGTATTAAAAGGTTAATTATAAGGTTTTTGAATTCACGAATTTTTCAACTTTTATTGCTATTATTGAGTTTATTCTAATATTAAAAATATCTACATATAATAACACGAAGAAACCCTCAAAAGCTCACAAGAATCTAACATTATGCATACAAGTTCAAAGAAAATATTTTATGAAATTCATTTCAAGATGATAGGAGATACAATATGTAATGGATAAAGTTAGTGGCAGTTAGTCAATGATTATAATTATGTGTCAGTCCAAAACGATTTCAATGGGAACACAGATTATTTAATTGATTCCATTCAGATTTCGAATTTAGAGAATTGAAAAGAAAGATAAAATAATGCCATGCGAAAGATACGTTATCTTCCGATGATCGAAATGGATATCGGAACATATGTGGCCACAGAGATTTCTCAATAAACTGAACACTCCTAAGCACTGTTCCGTTGCCACGCCCAGTATTATCGGTCTCGCACTACAGAGTGGAAATGGAAGGACTTGGATGTTAAATTTGGAACCCGAAGAAATCCTGAAAGAAATGAGTCTTGAATGTAGGTGAGAAATTACACACTTTGGGTGTAACAGGGTCACATCTACAGAAACGATGATACAATTTTCAAATTCCATTTATTCCAAAATATTATCGATTTGAAATCAATAATGTAAATATTAACGAGATGTTAGATATACTTAAAAATACATTACGTAATATTAAAAATCAAAATCAAAAATAAAATTTTCCTTAATGTCATTTAACTCAGTCCATTTGGCACTATCCATACAAAAATGTTTAAAAAATGAGCGTTTTTGGGGAAATGTTGTTTGAGCGTTTCTGGAAATGTGGCTCATTTTCACAGAAACGTTTTGAGTTTTTTGAAACACATCATTTGAAGCTCTTGGACTCACAACTCACAAATATATACAAATCTTCGGTAATGTAAATATTATCTACGTGAAAGTGATGTCAAAAAGTTACATTAGGATAAGTTTTGAAAAAGAAAACAACAACAAAATAATGCAGAAAGTTACATTATGTTCTCTTATACAATGCATTTAGCATTATACGAAAAAAAGAATAAAAAGGAACCGTTTTTGAGAAAACGTAGCTTTTGATATTGCTCATGTGACACTCAAAACTGTGTGAAAACATATACGAAACCGCTATACTACACTACTTTACTTACGATTAATGACGGTAATAACTAGTTACTTTCACTGTCTACATTCATTGAAAATTACAATGAACAAGTTTAAAATTACATGTGTAAAAAAAGTATATAATTACCTTTCTTTAAATTAATTTTTGAAAGCCATCATATTTCCACTTCATAAATTTCTCAATTACATTAATCTACTTGGAGCAAATTATTCAAATAATTGTTTTGTGAATCTTGGTACACTTCTGTTCACATGTCTTCCTCCTCTCCACATTATCCCCAAATAGTAGGAAGTAGTGTATAACTTATAATATCATCAAATTAAGAATTCTCAGAGAATCGTAGATTTTTAACAATTCTGAGAAGTTTTTCGGCCGTGTTGAGTCCATCTTCAAGGGATGGACGCCAATGATGGACTCTAACGTAGGTGTTTTTCAATGCCCTTGTTTAGGTAAAAAGGTATTGTTACATCTTTTAGACCATTTCTGAACCCTTAGTGATAGCTTCGTGCTTCAATGCTTATCGAATGTTAAAAAATAAACGTGCTAAACAGTAAGTTGGAAAAAATCGGCTGAACGGTTTAGCCGCTAGCGTGGTTCACAGACCGACAGACATACATACAGACAGACGGACGGACGGACGGACGGACGGACGGACGGACGGACAGAGAGACGTTTTGCCGCCACTCGAGTTTTCAGTAACAAGGACTCACAAAATATGGAGTCTGGCTACACCATGTGTTAGCGGATTTTCTTTTATACATTTAGCAACTCGATTTATCCAGGAGACC